GTCTTCGCCACCCTTATCGTTCGACGCGGTGAGAGATATTTCCGCACCTCCTCCTTCACAGACTGCTGCGCAGGACCTGGCATCTCACCTATACACCAAACCCCCCCACCCCCAGCACCTCGCAACACCCGTCCCGCCTCTGCGCTACCGTGTCCACTAGAAGGCGCACACTTCCTCCCCTCGTCACCACTGTTGACGAAGCGCCGACGATGCGCACCTACTCGCTGCCATCTGCTCGAGTTGACGTGTCACTTGCCATCATCTCCATCGTCATCCGCCGCGGGCCCGCTGCCGATCCACCCGTGTTTTGCGGCCTCCGCCGCGTTCTTCAGGGCAGCGTTGTGCCCGAACGCCAACCCGCAATCACACCATTCTGGAACGCATTGCGGGTAATCTCCCAGCGTGAGGTGGGCCTTTCCTAGACGATCGAGGACGAGGTTGGCGGAGTCCACCACGTGTCGGCGCCAGTTGAAGATGTACGACCCCGCCGCTATCATCGTCGGTTTCGCGACCATGGACGCGTACGACCGTGCCTCGTAATGCGATCGGTCGTCGTCACCTCCCATGCGCATGATCCACATGACCGCGCACAACAATGCTCGCAGACTGTCCGCCAGCCTGGACAACCTCTCCTGTTTTACGCGCCCGCTATCCGCCCACTGTCCGCACCAGAGCGCATCAGTCCAGCACTCCGCCAGCAAAACAACTGTCGCTTCCTTCCGCGCCGCCATGTCGTCCACTCTCGACCATTCCAAGGCCTGCCAAACTGCTCGTGCGAGGTCCGTGGCGAAGTCGACGGTGATGTAGGACTCTGCACGAGAGAAGCCAGTCGACCTCGACTGCGATTTAAAGATCCAACCGTGGATGGTGCGCAACACTACTCTCTCCACGCTGCGCGCTCTGCGGAAAGCCGGATCACGCTGCGCTGGGTCATCGATCTTGAAGTGCGGCACGTCATTCGGGGGCATGATGAGCATCGAAGGCGGCTCAGCTCTTGCGTCTCCGTTGGCGATGGCGACGAAGTAGTCGGTGCATTCGCCTACCGCCTCCCTCAGAGGTTTCCCAGGACCCTGACCCCAGAGTGCGTCGCAATCAACCCACAACTTGGCCTTCTCTTCCAGCTCGTCCTCCTTCGGCACTCCCTTCCCCCTCGCAGAAGTGGACGGTCGTCGCCGTCATTGCCCTCCCGCTTTCCGTCTCTTCGGCGATCGTCACGGCCAACATCGTCGACCCCCCCCCTTTCCGCACCTTCGACGACTCCGCCTTTAGCTGTGTGATCTGCCGCCGCCATCCGACTGGCGCTAGCCGTCACGTCGCCCTTTTGCGTGGTCGCCGTGTGCCCTCCCCCTGGCGCCAACACGTGTTGTAGGGGGAGTGATTGACGTGGCTGACCTTGGCCAGCCGCTGCCGAAAGTTGTCCCGCGACCCGCGCGCCCGTGACGACAACCCCTGCCGGGTTTGGGGTCCTTGGCACGTCCCGGCAGCACCGCCAACAACGCTGCGTTTTACTGCTAGCAGTTGCTCCCTCGACACTCCATCCCGCCCGAAACCCAACCTCGCGACCCCTGTCGTCCCTTGCGCGTCCACCATAGCCACTTCGTCTGCGACGAAGTCATCAGTTTGTGAGGAGCTGGCGTCATCGATGCGTTGCCTTTTCGACTTCGGTATGTGGCCTCTGCCTTTGTTGGTTTCCCCACCGTCGCCCGCCCCGCCATCTTTCCTGCCCCTCGCCGACGCGCCCCGTGGGGGCATCTGGTCCGCAAACCGGAATCAACGACGACGTAAACGAAGGATGCCTTCGACGAAAGAGCGCGCAGATGAAGGACGCCTGACTGCTTCCCATTGCTTTCACGTGGACGGAGGACGACGTGGATGATGCAGATGACGGGGCAGTGGTCGTGGAGCCGCGACGACGATGGCGACCGAAATGGAGATTGCGGACGACGAAACACGTTTGGCGGAGGAGCACGTCCACGAAGGATGACGTCGACGAAGGAGCACGTGGACGGAGGCGGCGTTCAAGTCCTTGAAGCGCGGCACGTGGGCGAAGAGGACAGTTGTCGCGATGGGGACGCGGGACCACTTGTTTGATGCGCATGAAGGGGCATTGCCCGCGCAGCACGATGCGGGAGCGTGGAGCGGCGAAGCGGAGTTGCAGGCGCGCGACGACGAGCAGGTAGGCAGACGGTGCGAGAAGGAGTTGTGGCCAAGGAACCACTGCAGTACAGAATGGCGGGCGGAATGTCCTATTTCTACGTACTGCGATGTGAAAGTACACCGTGGACATGAGTCCCCGTCCACTACAGCCCGCCCCTTCATCACTCGCCCATGGTCCGTTTTCCTCCGCATGCGCATGTCATCCCGCGCATGGCCAACATCGAAAGTGGGTGCGCAGAAGGACGCTGGCAGAGGTCGAAAAATCCCGCCAAACCAACGACCCCCTCCCGCCCGAAAATCACACCCTTCTCCGAAACCCCTGGAGTTCGCCATCAATGAGTGTCGGCGACGCCTCACTACAACAGTCGTAATATTCTATAATCAGACGACGTAGTGTAACACCGAAGGACGCGCCGCGGGGCATGACAACAATCATACCCATTCCACAATGAAATCATCAAATAAATGCATACTTGAAAAAAAAAATATATCCGTGCGCCCCAAAAAAAAAAAACCAGCCGTCTGTACACAACATGCACATCTCGTCACTGCAGCACGCAAGACAATAGCGGCACGCGTGGCGGGGAGACGTCACGATTGCTCACGGATCGCTTTAGCAATCTCCATAAGTGCTTCGCACATCATCAAGTTCGCCTGGTCGGCCTTAACGTAGTGTTCCTTCTGCACTTCAACCTCTCGCTCCAGAATGTCGTACTGCCTACTAGTCAGAATTCAGCACTGTCTCTTGCTCGCGCTGTCCACGGTTGTCGCCATCAGACTCCCGTGCTCCTTCATCACGTCTGCAATCGTGTCGAAGGTCTGCTGTCTCACATTCTTCCGTTTGCTGCCCCCGCCAACACCACCACCGCTGATAGAATCCCTCGCCGACCCCTGATCGTCGTCCTGTCCATCCCCGCCCCCCTCACTACCGCCGGATTCATTCCGACCTCCGAGTGGGCCGGGCATTTGAACACCTCCAGTCGCACCGGTGTCGGCGAGATTGGTGGGGTGTATTGTGTGATCGCTCCTGGTCATCGCCGCCATCTCCGAATACACACGCTCATCTATCTGGAAATCGAACCCCCGCTCCTTCCTCTCGCCTGACGTTAGTATGAAGAAATTTGGCTTCCCGATTCTCCCACAAAATTGTGCACGGTTTTGAATTGCTGGTACAGGTTGTCCCATTTCTTCCCGCAATCGACGGCCTTTCTACTCGTGACCCCCATGTGCACTAGCCTCTTCTCCACGTCGTCCCACTTCCATGTCTTCATCTTCATCCTCCCCGTGGTGTGCGCGAGGCTGACAAGATGCGAATCCTGGTCTCTTTTTACCCGGATGAGAGCAATCATGTGCTCCACGGTCCAAAAATCCCGGCTTTTCGATCCCTCGCCAGCCGACGCATCTTCCACACCCTTCTTCCCCCTCCGCCTCGTGCGCGTTTCCGACAACTTTTTCGCGGCCCTCGACCCTCCCCGCTTTCTCCCTACTGGACGAATCTCCATCTCCTCGTCGTCGTTACCAGCCCCCCTCGCAATCCTCCGCAACTGCACCATCTTCATCGCCTAATATATCGTCCGCCCCCACGGTAATCTTCGCCACCCCTCTCGTTATGCCGGCCGTGCTCGCTTCACGCGATTGTCGCCGATGATCATCCCAAAACTTTCGACCAACGACCTCCGTTGCTGACCACTCTTCGTTTGGGTGTCGTCCGTCCACTGTGCCACCTGCCGTCGTCGTTCTACACGGAACTGATCCGCCAGTCCGCGTTGTCACTGGAGCTGGTGTGTGGGTGGCGCCCGAAGTTGGGTTCACGATAAGGGTGCGCGTCACCTCCTCGGCACTCCCGGACCTCAATCCGAAGCTGAGATCCACCAGTCCTGGGTCATAACCAGCCGGGGTACGCCCCTCCAGCAGATCAGTGTACGTCGGCGTCGATGCCTGCCTGTGCAGCTGGCTCCCCATCCAATCCTGAGTCGAACCGCTGCCCAGAGGAAGGGTAGAACATCATGGGTCGTCGCCGTCATCGTCACTTGGAGGCAACGGTATCTCGTGGGACGGCAGGTGGCTGTACAGTGTGGGGTCGTACGGCCGCCTGACTGCTTCTGCACTTCTGCAGCGCTGACGTGACGACCCCACAGCCCCAACGGACAGCGTGGTCCTCGTCTGTACCCTCTCCATCTTCCTGGCCGTCTTCGACGTTCGCCGCGTTTGTTTCCTCCCTGGAACGCGCAAGAGGCAGCAAATATGGAAGACGACAACGGCAAGCAGCAGCACAACGGCGAGCAGCAGCAAAGACAGCCTGCAGTACAGGTCTGCCATGAACGACAGGGCAGCAAAAACAAAAGACGCACTCGCGCTGTGTACAAACGGTGCGAGAGGGAAGACGCCAACGAATGAAATTGATGCAATCTCACAGCTGGCTGCAGGAGGGCACTTACAAAATACGTATTTTTTCGACCGTTGTGGAGCACGCGGGAACGGCACGACCACTGCAGGAGCTGGCCGAAGACGTCTGACGCTCGCCACTGCACCTCCGCCGGGACACCCGACGAACCGACAGGGCCATCCCACGACGATCACCGCCAACGGTAAAACGACGAGGCCGTTACTCGACGTTTTGGATGCCCACGCCTCGGGATGTCCGTCTTCCGCCTTCCGGACCACCTCTGGACCACTTTCAACCTCCGTCGCCCCTTCGTGACGCGCCGCCGACACCCCGATAATCGCGGATCCTCGGGCTCCAAAGGACCTCGCGAGGTCCCTTGAACCCGAGGACGATTTGGCTGGGAAATCCTCAGAGCCCGAGGATTTGTCCTCGGAGTGTTTTCACATTTCTGTTCCGAAAATCGGCTCCGAGGACAGGTGGAACGATGACGAAATCCTCGAAATCGTGTCCCCGAGGAGTGTCGAACGATGCCCTCAGTCAAGGACTTTAGTACTGGATGTATCTGACGGTAATTACAGCGGGACCTGGGTGGATCTGGTGGCAGTTACGTCCAGATTTCAGTCGAAAAAGTAGTGCTCTGAGTATGGTCTTCAAGAGTGTCTCGGGATTGACGATGGGCGTCAGCGATGGTTTTTTTTAGGGGGGGGATTGTTTTTTTGGTGGTGAGCGACGGAATTGAAAACGGAGATGATTGTAAAAAAAAAAAAACAAAAAAACGGAGATGATTTTTGAATTACCAGCGGCGCCTGGGCCTTAGCATTTACTCCTGTTACCACTTTTTTGAGTGAATCGAACCGTAATTACGCTCAGATACATCCATGAGGCTCCTGGGCTGATTGCGAAACTCAATGCCTCGTTTGTCCCTTCGTGCTTCAGTTTGCTACGAGGACCTTTTTTTTTGTTTTGTTTTTTTTTGTTTTTTCCTTTGTTTTTTGCTTTCAGATATGAGACACGACGGATTCCACCGACTTTCCCATCGAGAGAGATCGGGGTACACAACAGGCTATATGTATCTGGAATCGTCCCGATACATCCCAAATGTTGGCCTCCTCCAAACGTACCTGGTCAAGAATGGCCTCCAAATGCATGTAGAGTGGTGATTGGTGGAGCGAGCCCCATTGTTGGGGGAAAAGAAAAAATGACATGACCTCGATTACGAGTCCATCCCCTCCCCCCCCCAAAAAAACACTGCACGTCCCACTTACCCGGATTTTTTTTATTTTTATTTTTCAGGGCAGTCAGTCGTGAAAAGGACAACTGTCCCAAAAAAAAAAGAAAAAAGAAAAGTACAACTGGGAAAAAAATAAAAATAATATAAAATTGCAATTTGCAGTCATACCTCCTCTAGTCTAGGCTAACGGACTTGCTCACAATGGGGTTTTCCCTTTAAACTATCTCGAAGCTATTCTATAGGCAATGGCTATGGCTATTCGGTAGGTAAAAAATGGCTATCACATAGGTAACGGCTATTGTACAGGTAATGACTATATACTCTTTCGCCGAGTGGCAGCAATTCGTCATCCCTGGGACTGGTCAGTTCGACGATGATATCTCAACGCCATCGCCGTTCTTTGTTGTTTTTTTTTTATTATTATTCTTTGTTGTTGTTGTTGTTTTTTAACTTTTTTTAATTTTTAATTTTGAGTATAGCGCTGAAGGCCAGAGTTAAAAAAGNGGGGGGGGGGGGGCGAAAGGGAGGTAAAAACGTTGTCCTCTCTACTACCGTCGTCCCCCCAACACAACGCACCCTCATTTGACTATATCGGCCCGACAGATCACTTGTATACATTCATTATCAGGGGGTGCGTTATGTTCGCGGGAAGACGGTAGCCTATCTACATAGGTACAGTGTGAGAGTGCGGGAAATGATGTTCTTTTGTGGGGGGGGAAAAAAAGGGGGAAAAAAATCAAGGCAAACGTAGAATGCGCACAGTTATAATAACTGGAAAAAAAAGAAAAGAAAAAAAAGAAAGGAAGAACCATAATTGAGGATGAAGACAAAACAAGAAAAAAGGTGGAAGGCAAACTCCAGCAGATTGCCCCTAACCTCATCATACTCCAAAAGGATTTTTTATTTTTATTTATTTTTTAAATTTTTAAAACGACTCCAAAAGGATTCGAACTGCTTGACTGTTTATTAAAAAAATTAAAGAGTTAATTATGAAGAGTCGATCTATTAAAAAAAAAAACCCTCGATCTATTAATTAATTAAAGATTAATTACTACGTACCGTGTGTGCAGCATTCAGCCCCCAGGGCGAAGGAAAGGCAAAAGAAGCTTAAAGAG